ACCATGCAGGAATTTCTTGCAAGATTCATTGCATTACTTGGGAAAAGGAATGTCGCCCCCAAACCCCTGCACACACACACTCCTGTGCAATATTTGGCTTCGCCTTGGTCATTGTTACAGAATCCCTGGCCCTCCAAGGGCTCCCTAATGGGACAGTAAAGGAGATCCCAGAATCTCCTCCACTTCCCAGTTTAGTTACTGCACAAAATTGACTGTGTTAAAGAGGGAAATAGAAAAGAGGCAACCTGGCTGGTCGAAGGACAAAAAATTTCACTTCTACAGGAGGAATGAGTTTAAGTTCTGTATACACGGTGACTATAGTTACTACATACTCGAAATCACTAAAGGGGTAGATTTTAAGTGTTCACACCACACACACAAAAAAATTATGTGAGGTAATGCTATGTTAATTACCTGGATTTAGTCCTTCCACAATGTATACACATTCCAAAACATTATGTCTTACACCATAAATATATACAATTTTAATTTATCTATTAAAATTTAATTCTTATAAAGAAAGAATGAAAAGGAGGAAGTACTCCTTTTTAGTAGGCGATCTTCAACAGAAGAAAGTGAAAAACAGTCCTAAAATGTCAGTATGAGACAACAGATTCTGCAATGACAGGAAGGGTGGGTAACAGATAATTACGTGAACAAACACATTTCAAAACCCGGGTTGAGATCAGGGGTAGTCCTTCCACAATGTATACACATTCCAAACATTATGTCTACACCATAATATACAAATTTTAATTATCTACAAAATTTAATTCTTTTTTTTTTTTTTTTTTTTTTGAGACGGAGTCTCCCTCTGTCGCCAGGCTGGCGCAGTGGCGGATCTCAGCGCTCACTGCAAGCTCCGCCTCCCGGTTTACGCCATTCTTGCCTCAGCCTCCCAGGCAGGTGGACAGCTCTGCCACCGCGCCCGCTAGTTTTTTTGTATTTTTAGTAGAAACAGGGTTTCACCATGTTAGCCAGGATGGTCTCGATCTCTGAGCTGATCCGCCTCTGTCTCGGCCTCCCAAAGTGCTGCTGGGATTACAGGCTTGAGCTACGGCGCCTCGGCCTAAAATTTAATTCTTAAAGAAAGAATGAAAAGGAGGAAGTACTTCCTTTTTAGTAGGTGATCTTCAACAGAAGAAAGTGAAAAAGTCCCAAAAATGCCGCATGAGACAACAGATTCTGCAAATGCCAGGAAGGGTGGGTAACAGACAATTACGTGGAACAAACACATTTCAAAACCCGGTTGAGATCAGGGGTCAAAGAGGAGACGACCACAGCCAGTGACCTCCTAGAGGGTCAGTAAGAGGGACCAGGGCAGAAAAGCACAGAAACTCCTCCGCTTTGCACCCCCAGGCTGTGAACCCACATGGGTGCCGAGCTGAGCCGCCCAGGCAGGCGCGGGGTCAGCCACGCTGGCCGAAGGATGCCCCGTGTGTCACCATGATGGAAAGAGGAAAAGAGCCAGCCTGGGGTGAACTCTTAAGAGCTGGAAGTAGCTCGGGCAGTGGTTCACGCTGTAACCCTAGCAACACGGGAGGCTGAGGTGGAGGACACTGTCCCAGAGGTAGAGGTTGCAGTGAGAGCTTATGATCGTGCCACTGCACTCCAGCCTGGAGACAGAGTGCAAGACCCTCCCAACCCTCAAAGTGCCTTTTTTTTTTTTTTTTTTCTTCAAGGCATTTTGGGTTGAGGAAGTCCAGAAAAGTCAGAACAATGCCCTGGTATGACATTTCCCTTTCAACAGATAATCTTGCGTAGAAGCAGTTCCGAGTGATAGACAAAGCCTCTTAAATAAGGAGGGGCATTTCTGTAGGAGCAGTTTTCTGCACCTGTCACTTGGACTCAACTGTCATGACTGCAGGTTTATTCTCATCAGCTGGTAACAGATACGGGAAAGCACACACTGAACTTCTGAAGAACAACACTTTCAACTCCCAGGTTGTTGAATTCCTTGCACATCAGGCACCCTGCAGGGGGCAAGTCTGGTAGCAGTGGATCATCGAGGATGACAGGAAATTGGCAGTTTCCTGAGGCAGAACAATGCTACCTGAGCACTTCTCCAGAGGGGCAGACTTTAGCAGCATTACAGGGTTCGGCTGAAGGTCATCAGGCACCACAGCAGGGTTTGGGAGCCAGTGTTCTCCTGCAAGTCCAGTGAACAGGAGCCTCCAGGAGCAGAAGTTTAATTGGAAAAATTGGAGAGTATTTCTCAACAACTCTTGTATATATGTAGGTAGAAAGAGAGGGGAAGGTGGGGCTGAGAGAGAACAAGAGACTGTGGCTTGGCAAACCTAGCTGAAATAGATGCACACAATTGTGAGCTTAAAATTGTTTTAAGCTACAGTTTGGGGATAATTGAAGGATTCTAAATCAAAACATCTGAAAGTTTTATAGTTTTGCCTTTCACACACCAAACATATACACCATGTCTTTAATCTACTTGGAAGTGTTTTCCTGTGGCAGGTGAAGTACATGTCCAATTGTATGTTTTTCCCATATGGACAAACATCCCAGTAATCTTGCCACAAAAAGCTAGCCCCTCCCGGTGTCAGCCACACCAGCTTTGTGTCCACACTGTGTGTGCTGCCTGCCTCTTTTCCCTGCTGCATGGGTCCATTCTTCCCGCACACCAGCTTTGTGTCCACACTGTGTGTGCTGCCTGCTCCTTTTCCTGCTGCATGGGTCCATTCTTCCCCGCCCCCCCGCCCCTCCCCCCAGCCATGTCAGCCACCAGCTTTGTGTCCACACTGTGTGTGCCGCCTGCTCCTCCTTTCCTGCTGCATGGGTCCACCTTCCCGCCTCTGCTTCCCCGCCCCCCCGCCCCTCCCCCCAGCCAATGCTATCCCGCTGTGATGATCAATCACAGCCTTATCAAAGCACTGGCCTGGGACAGACTCAGCCATCACCTCGTTCTTTAAGAGTGTTTTCCTGATCCTTGGCTCTGAGTTTCTCATCCATTTGACAATCGGCTTAGCAGGTTCATTTCATGTCTCTGCAGCCCAATGTCTCATCCTCTGAGAATGCAAAGAGATAATGAATTTAAACATGATTCATTGGCCACAGAAAACAATTTGTGTTTTCATATATTGTTTTTATATGATTAAACCTAAGGAAAAAGCATTATTTGTTATATCTTGTTCTTCTGTCATTTCTGAAAATATCACCTTAATTCATGAATGTCCTCAAGTCCTGAGCTGCTGCCTCCTGCTGCTACAGAGACAGGAGTGTTAACACTGGTTCCTATTAGGAATGTTTCCAAATTCGCCTTACTACAATTGTAATTTTTTGAAATCTCCTTTTAGATTTTAACAGCTGCATTTCAGCTGGCAAAGTTTTGAAAACTGGAAACAATTCAGTCCTACTGTCAGTCTGTGGCCAGATTCCAATCTGACGTGCTGCGGGATTTGAGTGAGGGCTGGCAGGACCACGTGTAAAATGCTACTGGCCTCTTCATCCTCAGACTGTCACTGTGAGAACCACGCAGGAGTCACTGGCAAGATGTGAACTCTTTATCCTGAAAAACTTTCACATGATATTTTTTAAAAGCATTTTTGTCTCATGTGAATTTAACCCTATATTGAGAAAGCGGTGTTAATATTTTAATAATGTTAATAATAAAAATTATTTTATTTTTACATACGAATTTTACAAAACTTAGAACATATTTAAAAATTCAAAGTATACATTTGTCCATGATCTGAAAAATTTTATGAATATTTTAAAGAATTTTCATCTATTTTTTCATCTTTCTGCACACGTTTCTTGTTTTCTCTCTTAATATCACACACGCACTACTTTATCTCCTGTATAGGGATGACCTATTGGTTAGTTGGTCAGCAATCATACCCCTTTCTTTCTTCTCTGTTGAAAGGGGCCAAATTACATTAGTTAATGGGCAAAATAACAGGGGCCGGCCACAACCCAGCCCCAGAGGTGAATTTTGATTGGACTAAACCAAACAAGGAATTCTGCCCACCTGGCTGGTGATGACTGGCTTAGGCCCCAGCGTGACATGCAGTGCTGACCACTGAGGAGTGAGAGGGGGGTCTGCTTGCCGGTGGGAGTTCACTCTTTGAAGTGTGGCCGTAAGTGGTCTCCACTGTGATGTCTGGACTTCAGGAGCCTACAGTGACCTCACGGGGACAAGCTTGAGTCCTGGATTCCTGATGATGTTCCTGAGCGGCTCAAAGTCCTTATCTCCAGACTCTAGTCACACAGGGCAGTGGTGGTCCTCTGTGGGGCATGGCCAGTTGAGCTCCTGGTCCTTGCACAGTCAGAGAGAGAGAGCAGCCCAATGACACACCGGGCCCTGCCCTTAGGGTGACGTTTTGCTGTGTTCCTAGAGTTCTTCTTGAGTTGTTGTTGCAGACCATTCCAACAAGCTAATATTCCATGATGTCTTTTGTTGGTCCCATATTGTCAAATAATGATAATGATAACAAACTTTCTCACTTGAACTTTGACATTAATAGAAATGCCAATAATTACAGTAATAATAGTTAAATATTTAATTTGCTCCTTCCTCAGTTACACCAGAAACTGAGCCAAGTACATTACTCATGTCATCTCATTTAATCTTCAGAAAAACGAGTGTTCTGCTGTTATCCCCATTTTACAGTTGAAAAACCGACAGATCAGAAAGGTAGTGTAACCCATCCAAGGTCACATGGCTAGAGGTGGCAAAGTCTCCTCAAAGACTATGCTCTTACATTATATGTGTATATATACACACGTGTAAGTATGTATACATTATAAAATATTAATCTGCCATATTGAAGAGTTCCTTATGTTAAGAAAGCATCTTTCCATTTTTACTTTAGTGCTTCTAGCCCCTTTGTCTTGTGCCACTTCCTATTTTCTCCTTTTCCTTTGTAACATTACATAGAGATTTGTCCACTACTTGTATATTTTGTATGCAGAACTAGTTGTCAAGGTTATTTATTTCATTTTCATTCTGCCTTACATATTTGTTTATTTCTATCTTTGTTCTTTTATTTAGGGATTTTTTTACTCAGCAATATTTTGTCAGCATCACTTCACATTAATAAATACGGCTTACTGTTACAATTTTAGTGGCTGCCCGTGTTGTCTAAGTGTGATGTATATAAGTTGCACAGCTTACTGGTTCCCTCTCCCAAACTCAATCCTGGATAAGCTAAGGAAGAGGGATGGAAGCAACAACCAAGGAGTAAACATGAGGAAACGTGTTGAGAACCTTCTGGGAGGCAGAACCTGTGTGGCCCCAGAGCCCGGAGCCAGGGCTGCTGTCTTTAAACAGGAAAGACAGAAGAACTTCCAGAGTTCATGCCAACTGCTCATTATGGATGCAGTCTCAGGCCTCAGTTATGATCTCTAGTAGCCAGAATTAATACAAGAACACAGGGCTCATCATTTTCTGTTGCTACAGAAAGGAATTGGTGATGTTTAATTTTCCCAACAGTATGGAACTAGCATAGAATGAGAAAAATTGGCCAAAGGGAGAGAGCTTCTGTTTTCTTACCTGCAGAGATGGGACCACCAAGCCTGGCCTGACAGATCACTGTGCCAGTTCCCAGAGAAAGCCCTCACAATGAGCAGCTCCACACTTTCCTTGCACTGCCCTTCCTTCTTCACGAAGCACCACATTTTCCCATCAACTAGAAGGTATCTCTCTGGACTCTGAACTCCAAAGAGTGAGTCAGACACAGCTGCTGCCCCAGAGGAGTTGACAAAGCAACACATGATAAGAGCTGCAGCCTGAAGAATAAATAAAATGTGTCACGTGTCCCCAGATTGAGAAGGGGTGAAGGGAGAGCCTGACTGGGATCAGAGATAGTGGAGATGTGTATGTGTGTAATAGAGGGAGTGCCTTGAGAAGCAAACACACCACAAAATGTTTATTTTTAAATAATAAAGAAATGGCAAAGGAAATGCAGGAAAGGAAACATTTACAAAATCCAAGTCACTAAAGTGCTTTCAATCAAAAATTGTAAAAGACCAAAAGCCTGGTCTGACCTAAAAACACTGTTTCCAGCTATCCAACAATTGTTTAAATGTGATCCCATGCTATTTTTGAAGGAAATGCAGAAGCGCCCAGAGTATGGCTTTCTTTGAGTTCCAATATAAATAGCCTATCAAGTGACACTCAGGAAAACGTAAATTACCCCGTAACAAGAAAATTGAAATATCCAAGGCCAAGTTCAAGGTAAAGACAATATAATTCATTCATGTGTCTGTATGGAGTCTTCACTATAATGATATCAGATTCTTCTGGAGATTAAAGAATTTTATATTTCCTAATTGAGAATGAGGACATCAGACCTAACCTGTTCATCTGTATAGCACATTGAACCACACATCTCAAATGATGCCCAGCAGTGAAATCATTTTTGAACTTCGGGCCCCCCTGCTCAAGCTACAAAAGAGAATCAAAAGTTTTGCACCAAATTAATTGGTTAAAGTGCCATTAAGGAACCATTTCCATTCTAGAATGAAATAGAATTTTCCCTAGGTCACTCATCTGTCCTCTTAAAGCAAGTGGCATTGCATTTTATCTTGACAGTGTCAGAAGAAAATCAAACTGAGAGTATATGTCTTGGACCATTTTTATCTTTTGGAAAATGCCAGTGAGGAATATGCACATTTTCAGCCTTTGACGGTGGGACCTGTGGGTCTCATACGGCTCCCACTTTCCCTGGCTGGGGCCCCTCCAGTGCCATGGAGTTGGAGCCTCCTTGAGCACCAGCCCCAGGGTGCACTTTCTTGGTCTCCTGCCGGGCAGAGCTGGAGAGGTCGATAGCCACATCTTCCAAGCCATGCTCAGGGCTCACTTTATCCGAGCCTCTCTGTGGTCCTGACTCACTCTGGCTAGAACCTTCTTTGAAGTGGTCAGAGCCCCAGAGTCCTGCCAACTTATCTTCACTTCCTGGCTTCCTTATCATCCCCATGGATTTTTTATGCATCCCTTGCAAAAAAAAAAAAAAAAAAAAAGGAAAAAATAAAAATATAAATTTAAATTCAGCAATGAAGTAAGTGTCCTTCTTATTGTTCTCTAAATCCCACTAGAATTGTCCTTGTCAGTCTATCTCTGGGGCCTACAGGAAAGCCAGGTAGGTAACTCCCACCTTAGGGGTTTAAAGCAGGTGTCTCACCCCGGGTCACATCCAGCAAAGGTGTTTTGGATGACAGTGATTGGCATTGGGCCCACTTTCCCCAAGGCTGCGGTCTGGTGGATGCCAGTAAGCCACCTCCTCACCTGCTTGTGTAATTTCAGATGAGCCGGCTTGGGTCACTGCCCACAATGCTCCCTCTATTGTTTCAGCCCTTGAGAGCAAAGTCGAGACATATCTGTGATTGGAACCTCCAGTGCCCAGCATAGGGCAGCTTGGTAGCTGTTCAAAAACTGTTCGGTGAGCAAAAAACTTCCTCCATCTAAACCTAAAATGCCACCATGATCCTCCTAACTAGTCCCCCCATGCCCGGAGGTACTCATCTGTGACTCATTCCCACAATCTGCGATCCCTGCCTGCTGGTTTCTGGCAACAGTAAACAGGGCAACAAGGGTGGAGCATCCTGAGAGTGCCCAACAGCGAAGTTTGGACCTCAGCAGCGGAGACTGTTGAAGCACGAAAAATCCAAGGGACAGAAAAGCCACTCGGCAGGTTGTTCATGACAGAACTAAGCCCGGGGCCAGCTCTCCTGACTCAGATGGAGGGGCTCACTGTCTCTAGGGGTCGCTGCTCAGCACCGCCCTGTTTCCTATTACCAAGTGCCCTAAATTGTACGGTTTCTAAAAATTCTAACAGCATTCAACACTTGGGAAACATATTTCACATAATGCAATGATGTCATTTCACCCTTAAATCCCAAATTATTTAGCATGCATAGCCCGGTGAGACTTCCACATAGCCTAGACAATCTCTGTGAAAAATGAGGCAACCGTCCAGATGCTGCAAGCTTTGTTATTAATTAAAAATAATAAGAACGGTTCTGGACCTGAATCTCAGTAAACTGACGTTGCTTTGCTTTGGAAATGGCTGCCTCGGTGGGGACCCCCGGGGATTCCCCCACCTCCTACAACACCTCGAGCAGTGCGCTCCCGGGGACCCTTCCTTACCCAGGAGCCAGGGCGCGCAGGAGCCCAGCAGGCCACCCTCGGTGGAGTTGAGCACGGAGTCGGGCAGCGGAATGCAGTGGCGCACCATGGCCCCGTACAGCCCGTACTCGGCCATCACGCTGCTGCCGCCCCAGCGCTTCTCCCGCTTGCGCCACTTGGCCCTGCGGTTTTGAAACCAGACCTGATTGGAGGCAGGAGAAGCAGAGAGCACACAGAAGAGACAGTGAAGAGAGGTGCCTGGAGGAGCAGAGGCGGCGTCCCTGGGCTCGGAGCTTCTCTCCCGAGCATGATCCCATACTATTTCTGAAGGAAATAGCTCCCGAGGGCCAACCAGCCGCCCCCAGGGAGCGCGCCCAGGAGCCCCCAGCGGCGCCCATGTGCGGTCCGGACTCACGGGCATTCAGCGCGGTAGGGACACGCGTGACCAAGTCCACTGAAGTTTCCATAGAATCAGGAATGAAAAAAACTAAATAATCAAACTCCCTTTTCCCACATTGTGTGAAGAGGTCAACTACAGTGTTTCCTGCTTTTTCTCATTGATTGGAAAGAGTTCACTGGGGCAATGGCTCCTTCCAAGCTTAGACTCTTGGGATGCTGGTGATATTTCTCATTAAAAACATTATGTTAATAAGAAACTGTTATGAAATCCGGTGTAGCTGTTAAAAAATAGTTAGTGACTATCTTCTGACAAAACCAAGAGCAAAATTCTGTGTATGCATGTCAGCGTGTGTACATATGCAGGTAGATGTGTATATGCACATACATATTCAGGGGCAGACAATATACTCCACAAAGTGGAGAAAGGTCTTCTCAGGCATTTATGTTGATTTCTTTCAGGGTTTGAGATGGAGAGGCAGTATTTTTTTTTTATTGACATATCTTTATATAGTTTCTAGTTGCAGCACACACTATCGTGTGATTTTAAAGAATGATTTGATACTAAATAATAATAAAATGAAAAAAGGCATGAGGGTCACAGGGACATGCTCTTGTGGTGCCTTCAGCTAAGGGAGTTTCTGTGCAAAGGGAGAGTGTTGGCTGTAGAGAAGGGACTGCTGATTGGCTCACTGAATGTGGGAATGACACGTTCTCTGTGGTGTCTTTGGAAAGGAGAAAAGGGACCCCAGACACCTGTATCCGGTCTTCAGGGAGCTCAGTTTTCACAGCCAGCATTTCTCGGGCATACACATCAGGGTAGTGGGCCTCGCTGAACGCCTTCTCCAGCTCTTCCAGCTGGTGAGCAGTGAAAACTGTCCTGCAAGGACCCCAAAACACACACGTGGGCACGTGTCCCCTGGGGACAGCAGCCTCCCTGGCCTTAAGGACCACCGTGCCTACTTCCCCTGCTGTTCACACCCTAGAAGCCACCTCATGATAATGGAACACCCCACCTCTGAATGATTAGCTGATGTAAAGTCCAGAAATTTCATTCAAACAAAAACAGTTCTTTAGCTCTTTCTTAATGAATTCCATCAGCTCATTCTGACAAAATCTATTTGACAGACCCACAAAATTGTCTTTAAAATACTGCCAAAAAAAATGCTAGCAAGATTGTAGCATTTTCCCAGCCTCCTAGGAACAGCAGAATTATCTTCCCCAATGGCTTCTGTGCCCTTCCTACTGCCAACCAGGAGACCACTGGGCCTGCCATCACGCAGGGTCATAAACTCTCAGATGCAGGTGCTATACACCTCGGGCTGTGTCCCGAGGAAAGGCAGGCAGAGTGGACTGCCTGGCCCTGTACCTGTGCCGCCGCTTCTTCCTCTTGCCCAGGGTGGGGGACACCTTTAGGTCATTCCTGTCTTCAGACGGGCTGTCCTCATCTGCTGGCACAAAAAGAAGAAGAGGACTTTAAAGGTGATCATATTCTGCCCTCTATTTCCTAGATTTTAATGTGAGGATTGAAGTTATGGGTATTTGGGCATTTGAGTAGTTAACAATATGAACTAGCATTTTTAGTGCCTACTAGATCCCAGGTTCTGTGCTTAACACTGTCCATACATTATCTCAAGTATTCTTAATATAATAATAAAACACCAAAATGACTGCTATCATTATCATCCTATTTTTACAGATGAGGAAACTGAGGCACAGAATGGTTAAGTAATTTGCCCAAGATCACACAGTTAGTAAATGGTGAAGTTGAGAATTCAAATCCCAGATTATCTGAAGCCAAAACTACTCGGTCACTGATTGCACCTTCTATCCCCACACTGCTTCCAAACACACCCACCCCTCTGCCCCCAGCCTCATCATCTTAACCTCTACACCAACATTTCCCAAAGGAAGTCTGGGGCTTGTAACATCAGAATGCTTGTCAGAACTGCACCCCTTCCCTGATGCACCAAATCAGAATCTCTGGAGGTGGGGTCTAGGAGGCTCATTCTTGACAAGTGTGCTTTGTAGTTGCCCTTGAAAATTCAAGAACCATTCCACTGTGCTTTATCTTTTTATACCCATTATATCAAAAAGTCCAGATGGAAAAGAAGGTTAGAACTATTGTGAGATTCATTGCTAGAAAGCATAATTGCCTCAAAATATTTTTAAAATGAATAAAGGCAAAAATAACTAAATAATACTAGTTTTACTCATCCATCAATTAGTTCACCAGAAACCTGACTCGGATGAAAACATTCTGTATTGGACTGTCCAACCTATGAGACATGAGACACATAAGGTTATGGAGCACAAGAAATGTGGCCAGTCAGATCAAGACATGCTGTAAACATAAATCACTCAGTGGA